ATCTAGTTCTTCTGATCTCAGAGTCATGGAGACTGATGTCCACGTGGTCCATTGGACTAATTGTCTCCAAGCATCTGCAATTCTCACCACTCTTCTTCCCTCTGGATGGTTAGAGACCAACAGTTGCACCTACCATGGCCTCATGAGCTTTTAAGGTCCCAGTGGCTAAGGTAGGATGTACAACATTGTCTTTGTGGACTACAGTATGTCAATCGATCATGGTGACCCCTGAGACTGTACCCATCATCTGTGGGTTGGTCCCACCTTTGGGCTCCTGTGAATAACGCTTCAGTAAGCAGTGACTTATTTCTTTGCATCCTTGCTTTCAAGGTCATTGAGAATGTTTCTGGGAGCAGAACAGCTGGGTCAGAGAATAACTCTGCACTTAACCTTTTAAGGACCCACCAGAGTTTATTCTAAGAAGCTGCACTTTCTACATTTCCATGAGCAGTGTATTGCACGAGGGTCTATGATGCCCTGGTGGCACGGTGGTTAAGCACTCAGCTGCGGTTGGAACCCACCAACCACTCTAAGGGAGAGACACTTGGCAATCTCCTTCCCTAAAGATGGGCCAGTTCTATTCCGTCTCATGGAATCAATTTGACCCACAACACTAACAGACCTGGTCTGTATGAGTCAACCCTCACTGGCCACAGCTCTCCCATGAGCATACTTGGCTCTGGTGACTCCAGCCTCATCCCATCCCTCCAACATGCCCAGCCTTCCAGCCTGTGGTGGTTAATGCTACGTGTCATCTAGGTAAGGCTTTGGTCCTCCGTGGATTGGCAGATAACATGTAATCTTTTATTTTTCTATCTGATGTGAGAAGTTAGTCACTTGAAAGGAGATTTTCTTGTGGAGGAGGACTGTGTTTGGGTGTTCTGGCAAAGGTAGGTCTCCTTCACTTCTTCATTCTTTTCCCTGTTTGACCTCCGGGCAGGAAGGCTTGCCACCTGACCTGCAGGTATTCGATGTATTGCTTCGTGCAACCCTGCGAGCCAGCAGAAGCCTTCAGCTTGCCACCTGAACCACAGGTTAGGGACTTGTCAGTCCCTATAATTACGTGAGTCAAATTCTTGAAGTAAATTTCTCTCTCTGTTGTTTGTTGTCATTGTTGTTAGGTGCCATGTAGTTGGTTCTGACTCAGATAAACCTTGTGCACAACAGAATGAAATACTGCTGAGTCCTGTGCCCCCCTCACAATTGTTGTTACGTTCGAGTCCATTGCTGCTGCGCTGTGTTAATCCATCTCATTCGGGGTGCCCCTCTTTTTCACTGACCCTGCACTTTACCTAGCACGATGTCTTTCTCCAGGGACTGGTCCTTCCTGATAATA